TAGCTAAGGAAGCCTGTTGCCCTATTTGACACAGTGTCCGTACATTATATGCCCCAACATGTAGTCTAGAGCGAGGTTTAAGGAGACCAGGAACGACGTTTCGCGAACTCGTATCGTCTGTATTAGCTGTGCACTGTGATGAATGAATGCGAGAAGAGTTAGTCGTGGAGATAAGAGAGGTACTAGGGGGTGTAGGAAGGATTTGATTTTGACCAATTCGGTCTCGCGTGCTGTTATGGGTATGAGGGCGGTTGTCACTTCCCGGCTGCCCACACCGTGGAAGGTTGTTTCTTGAGGAACCTGAAAAGGAAGATAGATTAGTGTTGGTGCGTGACCGCAGAGCCCAAGGGACAACTGCTTGAGGCCAGTCACGCATAGCCTTTTTATCAAATGTTTTTTGAGGATTAGCTCCGTTCTTAAAGGCCCTTAGTGGGCACCCTTACCCAAGGAGACGGAAATCCGTGAGTTAGGGGAGGTGTGACATTTTTAGGGCCGACCTTTTCTAACCCTTCCTTCCTTGTGAGAAGGCAGCATCGCTGCAGATGCTGGTTGTCCGAGGGAAACACCTTACTGCTGTCACACCCCTCTGCAGTCAGCAGTACGACCTCGCCCTCAGACCTTGGGTAGCTGCTTTTAGTCTCATCGTTCTCCAATCGACCTGTCTGGCATGGTAGAACCTTGAGGAACATATGTTTCAGCCAGTATAGCTCGGTTGGGTCATCACGATAGGCAAGCCCGACCACCACGTCAAGGTAGCAGCTACGGTCGGGGAAGTTCTGTGTTGTAACTGACTAACTGACTGACTATGAAACAATAAATATCTATCATATGTATCTGTCGGAAAATTAGACATTGTTATCGCTTAAAAAAAGAAAGAACTATTAAACTAACTTGATTATCATATAAGCATTCATTATAGTTAATTCACTAAACTAGTCAAACCATTATCGATGACGTGTTGCTCATAAAAAAATTACTATAATGTTCAAACTGAACAACTGTTATTGTCCATCATCAGATTTTGTTGTTTTTATTTCAGAAGCGAATATTGACTTCATACTACATTCATCATGTAATTGATATTATTTTTTGTCGTTGATAGAACAGTCGGAAGACGTAATTGATCTGAAACATGTGATGTATTTGCGCCATACATTTCGAACGATTTGGTCAAGGCATTTTATATGAAGATTAGCAAAAGGTCAATTAAATAACAGTTCAAATGAGCATATCAATAAGCTTACTCTGTATTGAAGATATATGGATGATATTTTAATTTAAATGTGATAAAGAACTCAACGTCTCTAAGTTACTGAACAACTTCAATAGTCTTCAGAGTGACATTGTACTAACCCATGAACCAGAAAATAATAACCGATTGTCCTTTTTAAACATACTGTTGAGTCGAAGGGAGAACGGAACTATAAAACGTTCTGTTTATAGAAAACCAACCTGGACTGGACAGTATCTAAATTTCAGCAGTTTTTGTTCACTGAAATATAAGCGACGTTTGGTAAAATGCCTCTTCAATAGGACTCAAAGGATTTTCAACCCGCATACATTTGAAGACGATGCGAAAGTCTTAACTGAAACATTGATTTCAAACGGCTGTCCGCTAAATTTCATCAATAGGTGTAGAAATCAGTTAAGACAAAAGCAAGTTTTTCATTCTGCTGAGAAGAAAAAGGTTTATATCACTTGACCATTTATAGGTGAAGCAAATGGTTTAATCTTAAAACAGAGACTGAAAGCAGCCATAGAGAAAACATACAACGCTGCTAAACTGATCATCATTGAAAAGACTTAGCCCATGATTTCACATATACCTAAACGTTGCTCGAATGCTTACATCACATACAATAGCATTAATCAACTTACATGTTCGTGTGGACAACATAGCGAGGAGTAATCGGACTTTGCGATCAAGGATTATTGAACATGTTCCTAAGTGGCTTCAAAATCAGTTAACGTCAGATGAGCGGATAAACGTGGGAAACACAAAACCATGTTCATATTATTGCTAAACACATAATTGAGACAGGGCATAAGGTTGACATCAAGACAGCCTTCAAAACATCGTATAGAAACGTTGAAGGACGGATTTTGAGGTTTGTGGAGGCTCTGGCTATTCGAATATTAACCCCCCTCCCTTATGTGTTCAGAAACAATATGTCATAATCTTGAATTTACCCTGGTAGTCTTTAAGCCTAAGGTAATGTGACAATTTTCTTACCCTTTCTTATTCTTTCCAAATTACGTTAATTTTCTCTCTCCTTTATTTACAATTATCACCTTATGTCTATTTGAACTTTTATTTAATTGACCATTTATTAATCTTCATATAAAATGCCTTGACAAGTATGTATGTATGTGTGACCAGATTGTTCAAAATGCGTAGTTTAAATACATCATATTGTTTCAGATCAACTCTACGTCTTCTCACTGTTCTATCAAAATTTATGAGAAGGATTAATTGTTTTAAATTATTATTATAATTTATGTGTACATATGTACATTAATTTGACTAATATTTAGAGAATAAAATGTTTTCTCTTTTTTCTATCCCAAAAATTAATTTGTGTTATTTATATTTTAGCTAGCTTACTTAAAAATTACTTAATTACATCATGAAAATAAATATATTTTAATTTTGAATGTACATTCTGTGTACAGCTTGTGAATGATTAACCTAACATTGTACACATATTAGAATGAATAAAATGTGTTGTGTCGTTTTATTGCGTGTTCTTAAGCTCGGTTTATAAATCAGAACATGAACTCGTATTGATGAATACGTTTATTCGGAACACACCACAAAGCGAAGCGGAGAAGCGAATTGGAGGAGGCTAAGAGCCAACTCTTTGGATTACAATGCGAGCGAATGGACGAAGCGAATCGGAGAAGGCTAAGAGCCAATTCAAAGAGATAAATCATGACTAAGAATTTATAGTCATGCAAAAATAAGACAGACATATGACAAGCGAAATAGGCGTGCACACACATCAATAAACGCGACGAATGATTGACAAGGTCAAATGACAAGTGATACAAATCATGTGAGTTCATGGGGATATTAAGAGATTAACATTAAAGCGAAAAGGATGAGTAAGCGCGTAGGCCTAAGCAGTGCTCAGTCGTACAAGCTCATACAAACCAGATAATAAAAAATACCAATTGTACATATGAGTTGTTGTTGCGTTTCATACAAATTCCATTGTTTTCTAACTCTTCTTTTCTTGATCTTCCCCCCCCCATATTATGCTACCAGACTTTAGTTTGACACTCACGTTATATACTACTTATAAGTAGTTCGCACCACAGCACCACACTCGTACCCCCTTTTAATAAGCTGTCGTCGTAGTCTTTCTGATCTCCGTACAGCCGTCTTCTTTATGAGTGTTTGTGGCTCGCCCTCTTGGCGCACTTGAAACCACCTTTGGAGTTCACTGGCATTCACGCGTTTCTGCTTGTTTCCTTTCTGGATCGTATACACTGCGCCGCGCCTCTCGGTGACGACGTACGGTCCCTCCCACTTCGGGATCAGCTTACCTGACCCTGGCCCTCTTCCTGTGGTATATTTCCGTTCTCTACACTTCACCTGGTCTCCCACTTCAAACGGTCTCCAGTTCTTTCTCTCCTGTTCTGACTTCTGCATGTCTGATGTTTGTTTCTCTCTCACATTCCTGATTGCTTGTCTCCGCTCTGTTCTCAATCTTGTTGTATTCCATCTCTGTTGTTGCGGCCAGGTTTTATCATGCGTTGGTAGTCTCGGCCGTCTGCCGTACATCAGCTGGAACGGTGACTTCCTGGTTGTTCCCTGTGCCGAGGCACGATGTGCCAGCAAGATTAATGGTAATTCTTTCTCCCAGTCACTCCCTTTAGATGCTAGCCATTCCTTTAGCGTTCGGTTATTCCTTTCCGTTAACCCATTCGTCTGTGGATGGCTTGGTTAAATAAATTAATCGAAAGGGTTTAACCAAGTTAGATGTAAGCGAACTGGAATATATGTGGAGGCACTACAAATGCATGTCGAAATAAACCCTTACTTACTTACTTACGGCTGTTACCCCCAATGGAGCATAGGCCGCCCACCAGTTTTCTCCAACCAACTCTGTCCTGGGCTTCTCTCTCCAGTTCTGTCCAATGTTTGTTCATTCCTCTCATATCTTTCTCTATTTCTCGGCGTACGCGACGTCATAATTCTTCCTCCAACTCCCAGGGCAGAGTTAAAATGGTTTGAATTATTTTTTCTGGTTAGCGTTTTTTTGGCAAGTTAGTTTTTGACGGAATGGGGTCGCCAACCCCCCATGTCCAACCCTCCTCCTTTACCCGGGCTTGGGACCGGCAGTAGCCCCTAAGGTTCTACTGGCGGAGTTTCGAAATAAACCCAGAAAGAATAAATATTGAAATATATATGCATATATATATCATAGAAAAAAAAAGAATATAAATCAGAAATCTATCAAGGAAGAGTAGTTTGATGTGAATTATAAAAAAACACGATATACTCTGTCAAAAATAATTCTGTATGATTCTATCTGTATTTTGTATTTTTTTTTCAAAGTAAACTTACCCATGAGTAGTATTGTACAATCAATTAGAAAAATACAAATGTAATGTATGAATAAATAAAATATCATCATAATGTTAGTTAGTAGTATATTGTGTTTTATAGTTGATCGTATATGTATGTGTATTAGAGGAAATGAATATGTTTCAGGGTACTTATACATATATATATATATATATATATATATATATATAATTGCAGGAAAATATTTTCTTCATTTAAAAAAATTTCTTTTTTATGACTTCCTACATTTATGTGAATCAATAAAATACAACATAGGAAAATGTAATTACACAACAATTTGTTTCAGTATAAGGAAAATCGGGCAAAATATTTGATGAAATTACATTTTATGTAGTTGGTATATTCATTCTTTGTTTTTTTTATCTTTTCCTCATGATAAACAAATGATTTCTGGCTTAATTTATAGAATATTATTGGTATTGGCATTACAAATCAACGTGAAACAACAATTGCATGGAATTGTGAAACAGGTGAACCATTAGCTCCAGCTATTGTATGGTCTGATGCAAGAACTGCTGATGATGTGATCAAATTTACACAAATGACTCATGGTAAAACAGCGAATGCTTTTCAAGTAAGAAAAACAAACAAACAAACAACCCGAAGTTGAACATGTTTTGAAATTGATATTATGTTGAGGATAGTATTTTTTATACATGAACTGATGATGAAACTAGATTCTTATTGAATTGGTTTGTCTCACATTTTCCTGTTTTTCTATTATAGAGTTTATTTTCCAAAACAAATGACTTCTACCTTTAAAAAAGAACTACATATTAAGATTTACTGTTGATTCATATAAGAGTTCTTATTTGAATAAACTTTGGATTTTCATAGATTCTCTGACAATCAAAGTTTTTGGACACTGATATTTCTCTCCAATTTAAATTCGAATTATCCTCATTTTAGTGATGCCGAATAACTTAGTCTATGATTAGTGAATATCAAATATTCACAAGGGTTTTTATATAAATGAAGTAACCAAACGAAAGTCCTGGATCGAAAATGCTTAACTTAAAATCAACTTCCTGAATGTTGTAACGGAACTGACTTACACTTGTTTTCCACCAATATACCATAGTTCACCGACCAGCATTCTTCAGCCTACTCTGTCCTGGGCTCCAGAACGAATATTGGGAATGATGAAATTTCTGATGTTATTTTCCAGATTATTATTGATATATTTGGTGTATAATTATTCAATAACAGTAGTGTCACATTACTGCATCTCTCTTATTGTAAACTTCCAATGTATATATCAGTTATTGTTATACGTCTTACTATTTCTTAATTATCGCTAATTGATTACGTATAATCTTGTCTGTCCTCTTCTATCTGTGCTATGATTGTGCTCGAAATATAATTCCTTATTTCGTATGCTGTGTAATTAAGAATTTTAAAGTACAGTATCGTACTAATTTTCAGTCATGATCAAAACTGGTTACAATAGGGAATTAATCTGCCTCTTATTTTGATTTCTTGATTAATCATTGGATTAGAAAGGGCTTCTTTATCAGTAAGCGTTAAGATCTTGGTTGTCATTGATCGTTTGTCGTCCGTACGTAAAACCCTTGAAATTGGTCAATAATTCGACTAGTGATATAGTACCTGATGTTGATTAGGTATTCTGAAGCTTTAACAAACCCACTTCTCTTTTTCTTCAGATATAGAATTGAGATAGTCCACATATCCTTTGTCGCAAGCGAAATTGAAAATAACTAATTCCATACTTATAAATAAATCAAATAGGAATAAGTTAAGTAGTAAAAAGTTATGTCGCCTGAACATTTATCAGATGCTTACCCTAAAAAGAAAGTTAATCAACCCACCCTGGCATTCTTTAATCTTTGATAACGACCAAAATCGTATAAACTTATTAAGAATACCTATGAAAAATGATATTTTCGTATTAATATAAGTTTTGACATAACCGATTGTGATGTAAAAAAAAACTTGATTTTTTACTGCGGTTTTACATTTTATTGCGTAAATATCATTAAGTTTTTATGTCAAAAATGTGTAGATAGTCTATTATCCATAAATTATATCACCATGTAAATAACTGAACAATATAACTAAAGTTGTTTTAGAACAGTTGGTCGCTTTGGTAAATTTTGATAGAACGATGAGGATACGTTGATCACTTACTTATGCCTTTTACCCCCTAATGAGGCTTAGGCCACCAACCAGCATCCTCCAACCTATTCTGTCCTATGCCTTTCTCTCCATTTCTGCCCAGTTGATGTTTATTCTTTTTATGTCTGCTTCCGATTCTCAGCGTAATGTGTTTTTTACTCTTCCTCCTTTCCTCTAACCTTGGGGATTCCAAGTTTGGGATTGCCTTGTGGTGCAGTCGAGTGCTTTCCTCAATGAATATTCTATCCATATCTAGCGTTTTTCTCTAATTTCTGCCGCACCTAGAATTTGGTTAGTTCTCTATCACAGCAGGTTGTCACCGATAATGTCTGGCCAACAGATGAGGAGTATCTTGCTTAGACAAACATCTGTATCTTATGAATGATGGCTTTCCTGGTTCCACAATTTTCCTCTCCATACAGTAGAAGCGTCTTGACATTTGTATAGAGATTCCTGACTTTGGTGTTTGTTGATAGCTGTTTTAAGTTCCGGATGTTCTTCAGTTGTATAAATGTTGTCATTGCTTTGTCATTCTACATTAGATCCACTCTACTCATCAGTGTTGCTTCCTAGATATGTGAAGGTTTCTACAACCTCCAACGCTTCTTAATCAGGTATGATTTGGTTGGTGCATTTTGTGTCTTGATTTGTCTGATGGCCATGCTGTTTTCATTGACTGTTGATGTTTTTTAGCGTTAGCGTTTCTGTTTTCGTCCTCTGTGGTTTGATCCGGTGAAATCTATGTGGCTTTGTATATGCGTTTGTATGGAAATATGGTGCCACCTATGACTTGTTTGCTGAAGGCACATAGGATGCAAATCTCTGATTGTTTTCATTCCTTTCTTGTGGTTCATGTTGTCCCATGATGTCTTCTTATCCTTTATTGTATATTGCAACCTTGGAGTTTAGGTGTCCCATCAGAATGGCCGAGTCGTTTGTTGGGCATTTTTCGATGTCTGACTGCAGCCTCTCGTAGAATCGTTCTTTAACTTCCTCACTGTTATCATTAGCAAGCAAATATCGCTGAATGACATTCATTGTAATGCCCTCCTTCTTTGTTTTGAAGAATGCTTTGCTGATCCTGGGTCCATGGGATTCCCATCCTATAGGTGCATAATTTCGGCTTTCATCATGAGGAGTCATAACTCTTCAAATTGAAGATCTCCCAACTGCAGGGACTGAGTTTAAATGGTTTTAATTATTTTGGTTACGGTTTTTTAAAGCGAGTTGATTTCCACGAGACGGCGTAACCAACCCAGTGTCCAACCCTTCTCCTTTATCCGGGCTTGAGACTAGCAGTAACCCCAGACGGGCTCCAGGCGGAGTTAATGAGAATCATGTCACATCCCACCGCATTTATCAGTTTACATGTTTGTGTGGACACGTATACATTGAAAGGAGTAATCGGACTTCGCAAACATGGGTTATAGTACATATGCCTAAATGGCTTCAAAACCAGTAAATGTCAAATAACCCAAAGAAAGTGAGAAATATAAGACCATATTCATAGATAGCAAAACACATAATCAGAACGGGACATAGGATTGAAAACTTTTAAAGCATAGTGTAGAAATATTCAAGGACGAATTTTGATGTTTATAGAAAGCTTGGCAATTCGTAAATACAGAAACAATTTGTTACAACCTTGAATTCACCCTGGTAATTTTTATGCCATGTTATGACCTAGAGTAATGTGATCGTTTCCTACTCTTTCCATACTATGTTAATTTTCTCTCTCTCTCTTTCTCTCTTAATTTACAATTATCACCTTATGTTTATTTGAACTTTTATTTAATCGACCTTTATTGATTTTCATACAAAATGTCTTGACAAGTAAGTATATATATATGTATGACCAAATTGTTCGAAATGTTCAGAGCAAATACATCAATTAGCGATCATCAATTAGATCAGTCTATCATATAAAACATCTAACATTTTCAAACTCTTAAAATATTTCCTTGATAAAAATGTCATATTTGAGTTGTAACTGGTATAACGATAAGTATTTTCATATTATCGGTTAGAGTGTAGTGCCTCCACATATATTCCAGTTCGCTTACATCTAACTTGGTTAAGCCCTTTCGATTAATTTTTTTTACCAAGCCATTTGTGTATTGCAACAACTCATATATACCATTGGTATTTTTTATTATCTGGTTTGTATGAGCTTGTACGACTGAGCACTGCGTAGGCCTACGCGCTTATTCATCCTTTTCGCTTTAATGTTAATCTCTTAATTTCCCTATGAATTCACATGTTTTGTATCGCTTGCTTTTTGACCTTGTGAATCATTCGTCGCTTTTATTCATGTGTGTGCACGCCTATTTCGCTTGTCATATGTCTGTCTTATTTTTGCATGACTATAAATTCTTAGTCATGCTTTATCTCTTTGAATTGACTCTTAGCCTTCTCCAATTCGCTTCGTCCATTCGCTCGCATTGTAATCCAAAGAGTTGGTTCTTAGCCTTCTCCAATTCGCTTCTCCGCTTCGCTTTGTGGTGTGCCTCGAATAAACGTATTCATCAATACGAGTTCATGTTCTGATTTATAAACCGAGCTTAAGAACACGCAGTAAATCGGCACACTACAAGAGTTTTGGAGATTTGTGTTTTTACACATTTGAAATCATCAATCAATCATTGTTAGACCACCATTAGAAACCTGGAAGCACTGGATGGCTGTTTCGTCCTGGTATGGGATTCATCAGTAGTGAGCATCCACGATTCTTTAGCCTCGCAGGATTCGAACCTGGGACCTTCGACCTAACCATCGGACCACTGAGCCGGCATCCACCGGTGTTATTGTCTATCTCTGATTGATCTAGGGATTTTGCACGACCTCACCCATTTGTCTTTGGTAGTTACTGCCTAGACTTGACACGATTGAACTCCATTGGTCACGTCTTCTCAACTAGAACTCCGAGAAATTCCTTATGAAGCTAGTCACTAGTGAGCACATGTTACGATATTTTCGGTTAGAGTTTTGGAGGTTTGCGTTTTTACACACTTGAAATCATCAATCAATCAATGTTATATTAACAAAGATTTTATGATTTCAGAGTAAATATATTCGAAAACTGAAACTAACATGAATTCATTCATTCTACTTGTCCACAGAAACATATAATAATTACAATAAATTTTGAAATAAAATTTTATTTCTTATTGAATATTTTTTTGTTTAAAATAATTGTGAAACAGAATATTAGTCAATGACTTAGACTCATCAAAAATCATTGTGATTATAAACTATAGATATATTTAATAATATTAAAGATTCCGATTGTGAATATTAGAACAACGCACATATAAGTGAACAATATTATTACTTTCAATTAGATCGTCATCTGGCTGCTTTACTCTAATATACATGAGTGTTGATATGAAAATGTGAAACCAATCAAGACAGGCAATTTATGAGTCAATGATCACAATGAAATGAAATAGATTATTACGTCACTACACATTCAATAGGCAAAAGTACAAGTTGATAACAGTAGGAAGACAGGTGTGTACTGATAGTAGTGGTAAGAAAAATAAAATACGATAACAAAAGTTTGATCACTAGTAGATCAAACGTAGATAAATAGACTTAAAATAATCATTACAAAACATTAAAAACCACTGTGTAAGAAGAAGTGTGTACATAATTATGGCTAGTGAAGAATATAAACCGGAAGAGGCAGAAACTTACCAACAAATACAGGATGTGAAAATAATGCTATAATAATCGCAAAAATAAAATACAAAAAATTATTTAAAACTTTTGGTTATATCCGGTCATGGAAGGGATAAGGATAAGGATACGAATTTCTTCTGAACACATAAATTGGGCTTGAATGTACGAATTCCTATGGCTTCTGCTATTTGTGTTGGAGACACGATCGAACTCCATTGGGAAATGATTGAGGTATACGAGATAGATCACTCGAAAAGATCTAGACTTATCTACAATATGACCACTATCAACTAGGTGGGCTAAGATAGAACTGCGTATTATTTTTGACTGACCCTTCTTAAATCATGCTGGGAGATGTTTACTCATTCGTTGGTTAAGTTGCCTAGTAGTACGCCCGATATAACTATCTCCACATATTAAAGTTTTAAATCACTATATTTTAAATGTACATGTAGTGTTTGGAGATTAACTGGTTACATTTATAAAACAAAATCAATTATTTGTCCAGGAGTTAATGTAGTATTTTACTATTATCTTATATATTGCATATTGATGACAGCAAGAATTGTCTAACTCAAAACTTTGATTACAATTGTCTGTCATTATCTGTAACATGGTTAGTTCGAATGTCTTATTCGTTGACTAGTATGAATCATTTCAAAATATCTTCAACTTTAACACACATTTATTGTCACAAGTATACCATCTGTGTTATATCATTTTTTCTTAAAAAGATTTTACAAGCTATGAACTCTAATAATCAAACTAAACGTTAAATTAGTACAGTATTAATGTTCACGTGTGTATTGGAACCCGATACCATCTAACTGATGAATTCTAATTTGGATATGAAATTCTTATGCTTACACTTCAGTGCTCATCACAATCTCTCTATTCTATAATTATCATTCAATTTGGTAATCTATGACAATACGCATGCATACTTTTGCATTTCCCTTTTTCATTTTTCTAGCATATTACCGGTTTACCGATACATAGTTATTTTTCAGCTTTAAAAATTCATTGGTTATTAAATAATGTCGAATCAGTAATTAAAGCTAATGAAGAACAAAAATTACTATTTGGTACAGTTGATTCATGGTTAATATGGAAGTTAACTAATCATTTGTGTCATGTTACTGATGTAACAAATGCAAGTCGTACACTCCTATTTAATTTGAATACATTAGAATGGGATCATGAATTATGTCAGTAAGTGAAAATGTTCTTTGAAAAATTACTTTTATGATGTTGTTTGTTTTTGTTGTTGTTGTTGTTGTTCAGTGAAATATCACAATGTAGTTGGATTTAAACATGGTGTTTACTGTCTTCATCTCGAGTATGAATGTATGTCAACACGTCAATTCGATATGCTTGAAGTATAACAAATCGCCTTAGTCGATATCGAGAACGAGGATCGCGAATCCGGTGACACGACAGGCTACTCTAATCCGATCGTCCCAAACCCCCACTGACTAAAAGAAGAAGACTTGATGTGAAGTAGAACCTGTATTCTACAAGCTTCCAGAAAGTAAAAGGTCGGAGTCCAAAAGAGAATAAGGAACCCGGACTGAGGGTCTGGATCTTCAGACGTTATAGCTGATGCATATTTATATAATTAGGTCGAATAAGAAACAACATTTGAATTTTGTGACAGTGATAGTCAGAACTACCAATAGGAATGGACCAGTAGTAGAATTAGACTTACAAATAATTCTCTTAGGATATTGGATGAATATCCCAACATACCTTCAGTTTTCAAACTTAATCTAGTCATTAATGAATATTCCACACGCATATACAAACATTTGATCATTTATGATTGATAATAGGTTTTCATATCTAACCTCAGACTATGAAGCCGGTAATCCCTGGAGATATTATGAAATGCTGTGATTACTGGAGTTAATTAATGTCATGTGTCTGACAGTTATTCACAAGCAGAAATGGAGGATGGTTCTGAGTTGATTGACTTTAGGTATGCTGGATACCAACTAAGTGGTCTAATAGTTAAAAGCTTACTTCGAAATCAAAGGTCCTGAGCTTGATTTATGGTATGGTCGTGTATGTATACCTGTGACAAGTTTTACATTAAGACAAAACAGATATCTGGTGCTTCCTAGTTTTCGACAGTTGCCTAAACGAGGTAACTCTTTAATTTCATTAACAAGAATTCAGCTATCTTCATAATAATCCTTACTTAAATCCTTTTCTGTTCATTTAATTATAGATTTTTTCATATTAATCCACGTACACTGCCAAAAATAGTTACATCATCTGAATTCATTGGTGTCATTCAAGATCCAAATTGTTTAATGCATAACATTCCTATATATGGTATATTAGGTGATCAACAAGCATCACTTGTTGCACAAACATGGGGATCATCTAGTTCTATAAATGAAACGAATTTATCCAATATGTCTGGAGTTAAAATAACCTATGGAACTGGTGCATTTATGCTATGGAATATTGGTTGTCAACCTTATTTTTCAGATAAAGGAATTTTAACAACAATAGCTTATAAAATGGGTTCAAATGGAAAACCACATTATGCTCTAGAGGTGGGTTTAACATGAAACAATCAATCAATCATATTCAACAATTTCTTTTCTTAATTTATAAAAATTAATTAAATAACGAAGTAACAATGATCGTAACTGAATAACATAAAATTCAACTGTTTTGTGGGCTTTTCTTCAGCTTTGTACAATTTAAAACCGAAACAAGTGTGTGTACCTGTTTCATATTGGGAATATTTCCTAAAAGATCTAAGTGAAAATGAGGCCATCATACGCAAAAATTGAAATTGTTCAAACGGAGAAAATCGATGAGTTCATGTTGTTCTGTCACGGAAATACTTTTTTTTTGCTAATAGTTTGTTGTTAGAGAGTTTATTTCTATTGACTAGAACAAATACAAAATTTCGTTGTTTCTCATATCTATCTCTTATCCTGAAATGAAAATAAATCATTAAAATGCAATAATTTGTACTGAAATAAATTTATGTTTAAATAATTTTTTTGCCCTTTTATTATACCATTATTTTCATTCATCTTTAAACAAATACAAGAAGCTTGTTTGTCATTTATATTGGTCATGCAATTCTTAGTTATGGAGATGATGGAGAAAATTTGTAGCTCGCATGGATGATTGTTGTGGTGTTTCGTTCGTTGCGCACGTTTTGATTGTGAAGCTTTCATTGTTCTTCTGAACAACAACATCAGCACGAACTTCAGATGGAAGTCTGACAGCTTCACAACCAAAAGACTTCCATCTGAAGTTTGTGCTGATAATGTTGTTCAGAAGAACAATGAAAGCTTCACAACCAAAACATCCAGCTTAGAGAACGAAACACCACCACAATTCGTAGTTAATTGCCATTTGGAAGTAGTATCAGACAGAGCAGAATCGATAAAACTCATAGAGAACTGTTTCCTTTTGCTACTTCACATCTCACTATCGAACTCAGCACTCTTAACTTCTTTTTTTTTTAAATTTGGTCATCATTTGATTCATATTTGATTTATAGCACAACTCAAATAACTGAAATTATCATTTTGCAATGCATACTACAGAATTCATCTGTTAGTTTGTTATAGTAATAGATTATCAGTACAACATTGATATTTTATCAAATCTCATTAAATCAGATTGTCACTTAAGGTGTGATGATCAGTAGTTAAGTGATATTGGATTTAGCCCAAGCCCATAATGATTCTTCTCGTAAACTCATATGCTCATAGTTTATGAAACAATCTTAATACTCTATCGATTCGTCGCCTACTTTTCTATTCTCAATCTACAATAGAAATATTCCTCATAAAGAGAATGTCTGTAATAGCACTAGACTACAATTACTGACTATCGTAGGCGATAATAGAAAAGTAGAGAGAAATCATTTAATAATAATAATAATTAAATGATGATCATTGACTATTCGATTGACGTTTTTTCACTTCATTTATAAGCAATCCATTTGTTCATTCACAGGTAAGTCATAGTTATGTTGTTTGTGGTTAGTTCTTGTGTGTGTGTGTGTGCGTGTGTATAATTTTTGATAAATAAACATTTCAATTAGTATATTTAATCAACTAGTGTTTCTCTATTTGATAAATTTATTCATTTCCCTTACGGCGTTGTGAATATTGTTAAGTAACACATTCGATATTCGGAATTGAACAAAGTTAGACCACTATTAGAAACCTGGAAGCATTGAAAGACGGCCGTTTCGTCCTCGTATGGGACTCATCAGTGGCAGTGCCCATCCACGAGTCCTACATCTCGCAGGTTTCTAATGGTGGTCAAACTCTGATCAATTCCGGATTTCAAATGTGTAACTTAACAATCTTCACTACCCCGTAATGCAATCACTTGTGCTCACTAGTGACCAGCTCCGTGAGGAATCTTCTCCTAGTTCTAGTGAGAAGTCGTAACCAGTGGAGTTCAACCTGTTCAGGTGTAGTCCGTAACTATCGAAGACAATGTATGAGGTTGCGCAACTCTCTGAATTGATCGAAATTAAACATTAACACCGTAAAATACGGGCTCAGTTGTTCAGAGGTTAGGCATTGGAGCGCAAGACCGAAGGTCCTGGGTTCGAATCCTGTGAGATGCAGGAGTCGTGGATGCGCACTGCCACTGATGAGTCCCATACCAGCACAAAACGGCCATCTTCCAATGCTTCCAGGTTTCTAATGGTGGTCTAACTCTGACTGATTCATGATTTCGAACGCTTTTTTCATTGAATGATAACACTAATCAATTTTGTGTTTACATCAATGTCCAATAACAACTACAATAAATGTTGATTCATTTATTTACTTTTTTTCTGATATTTTAAATGAATATTGTTTTGTTATTTATTCGTATCAATTCAATTTAAACTTTTTTTTTCGTTAAAAACGTTTCACGGTAGAAATCAGTATGACTTGTAGTTTCTTTTTTTTGTACTGAGAACATACTATAAATAAATTATACTTACAACATAAAATTTAGGTTATTTATCAGTTATAATCTACAGTAGGTGCATGTTAAATGGTGCGCATGAATACAAGAATTGATGTTTCCAGTAATCACGTACAACTACTTACTATATAACAAGTAATTATGTTATAACAATTTATGCGCTAAGAATATGTTGTAAAGATATTCTTTTAACCTTTGTTTATTCTTCTAAAAGTTGATTTTAACAACCTTAAATTTACTTGTACCATTGTTTATGTAACCGCAAGGTTATCGTAATTGAAATTAACGAATGAAATTAGTTTATCCATATGACAATAAATATGAGTAAAGATATAATGGGCTAACATCAAACTAAACTTTAACACATTTCATTTATTTGTACACACTATCATTGGTCTTTTTTTTCTAAAATAATTAATAACGCGTATTTTGAAACAATTCTGTACCATTATCCGTTGACTGGATGTTAACTTTAACTGAGTAGTACCTCAGGTGTTGACTTTATCCAACTAAATACAAATCTTTGAAGTTCGATATCAACTAGTACTCCTTGATGTTCTATCTGCTGTGGCTTATAACTCCTCTGATGGTTGTTTCCGTTATAAATCGACATAATTGTTGTAAATAAATGTCTAATAAACAGCTATTTCATCTAGATTTCAGTAAGTTTTAGAATGATACAACTCATTTACAAGCATGATTGAACTTAAACTTTTCTGGTATAAAAAAATGAGTACGATATAATTAAGCTAGTGAGTGCGCATACAACTGATCTCACTTATTGATTTCAGTTATTCTGTGTCATAGCACAACTATCATTCAATATTATCATTAAATAATCAGCTCTTATAATTCAATATTGTCATTGATTCGTCATCAAATTTATTACATATTCTATGATTTTCTATTGAATTTATTTTGCCATATCGCGCACTGCTGATGAGTTTCATACCAGGACGAAACAGCCGTCGAGTGCTTCCAGGTTTCTAATGGTGGTCTAACAAAGATTTTCATTGTGTGAAAAACACTAATCTCTATAACTCTAGTTGAAAAAATTGTACAGTGTGCTCACTAATGACTAGCTTCGTAAGGAAATTCTCGGAGTTCTAGTGAGAAGACGTGACTAATGGAGTTCAAGCCTGTCAGGTGTAGGCACTAACTACCGAATACAAATGGGTGAGGTCGCGCAAAATCCCTGGATTGATCAGATTTAGACATTAACACCATTGAATGTCGGCCCAGCGGTCTCCAGTGGTTAGGTGTTCGGGCGCAAGACCGAAGGTCGTGAGTTCGGATCCAGTGAGTAACAGGAGTCATGGATTCACTCTGCTGATGAGTTCCATAGTCTGACGAAACGGCTATTCAATGCTTCCATGTTTCTAATGGTGGTCTAATAACGACTGATTGATTGATTTCAATGTGAAAAAAACACTAATCTTTATAACTCTAATTTAAAAAATGTTGTATTCTTAACCAAATTATATATAAATCTATTTATTTAAACAACTAACGGTGTTTCAGAGCTATATTTTAATTGTTATTACACTTCATTTGTGAGGTATTGACAAATCAACAATATAAAAAAATCCTAATAACTATAATTCAATGTTCATATATTTGATGCCGTTGTGTTTTCTGAGTTGGATGGTTTTATTTTCATGCAATATTGATACTGACCCATTGTTTTTTGTTTTTTTATAAGGTCACATTTAATGTTATTTTAACTGATGATAAAAGTTTTCAAGTCAAATTTATTCAGTAGCTATAAAAAATAAGACTAAATTTTCTGAAACAATCAATCATAGTTTGATTAATCATTCATTAACTATCTATTATGTTGACCGATTTTGAATAGTGATTCTCATGCAACACATGAAACATGAGTTGCTTATTATCATTATTATTATTATTATTATTATTATATTTTGAAATATGATATCTCAACTTTGATATTACTTACAAATGTTCAATAGTTTTAATGAACACTTGTCAGATTGATTCATTCAAATAAAATGACAATGCTAGAAACATTCCTATTATGGATTGATTGTAATTTCATTGTTCAAGTTTGAATGTAATCTGTGTAATTGAATACTTTTAATAATGTTTAGTTTTTAAATGTTTGGAAATGATTTGTTGACTGAAGCAATGAATGTTTCTTGATGCCACAAATTCTTATTTCTACATCATCAAAATTGTTTACAGGAGGCATATAAAAAAAACTTAATCTATACACACACAAACTACACTCAAAAAATGAATATCATGAATAGAGATTAGCTACTACTTATATGAGTAGTGTTTTTTTTTGTTTTGCATAAAAAAATTGACTATTTTCTTTTCTACTTAGTTAGGGTGCTATATCATATGCTGGTGCTACAATGAAATGGTTAAAAACCAAATTGGATATCTTTGAGCATAATGCAGAATGTGAAGAAATGGCTGCTACTGTATATGCAAAACAAACATTCAATGAACCAGATCCATGTTATTTAGTTCCAGCATTTAGTGGTCTATTTTGTCCATGGTGGCAAGAAAGTGCACGTTGTGTTATATGTGGCATTACAGCGAATGTTAACAAAGCGGATTTTGTTTATGCTGGTTTAAGATCATCAGTTTATCAAACATATGATGTGTTATTTGCAGCTACTTTAGCTAAAACCAATCGATCTTGTTCATCTGTAGTTCCAACTATGACATTAAAACAACCGAATGAAATTTATGTTGATGGTGGAATGTCTAATAGTGATACGCTTATGCAAAGTTTAGCTGATATTTTAAGTAGGTTTAATTGTATTTGACTCGTTGTTAATTTTATGATTATCATTACTATTATTTCATCCAGTATGTCAATGAGTTAATACATCATTTTACTTGAATTTTATTTAACCTGAACATACATAAATATTTGCAAAAGTCTATTTATTCAGAATAGATGTACTACAAGGATTTGGCGGTAATTAAATAATTATAAAATAAGACGTTATATATACATATAACAGAACTCGATGACATAGTCCTACTTGGTGAAGACGCTGACAAAGTGCAGAGTCTTCTGACCACCCTAAGCAACAATGCAAGCATTTTCGGGATGCGGTTCTCACCCTCGAAATTCTAAATGTTGCTTCAAGATTGGGTTGCATCGGCACCTGAACTAGTGATAGGGAGTGAAGTAGCTGAGCGTGTAGACCGCTTCACTTATCTTGGGAGTCTCATCAGTGCTGATGGCCTGGTGACTGACGAAAACTCAGCTCGGATACAAAAGGCTCGATTGGCTTTCGCAACCTGCGTCACCTATGGCGCAGGCGAGATATCCGTTTGATGACTAAAGGATGAGTGTACTGTGCAGCAGTTCTCTCCGTCATACTATACGGATGCGAGACTTGGCCGTTAAGAGTAGAGGACTTTCGTAGGTTACTAGTCTTCGATCATAGATGTATCCGAAGCATTGCTCGTGTATCCTGGGCCAACCGTATAAGCAATGCTGTCGTTAGGAAACGAGTTCTAGGTAAGGATGACAAATCAATAGATGAAGTAGTGAAACTTCATCATTTGAGGTGGCTGGGACATGTTTTACGATGCCAAACCACCGACTACCTCGACAAGCTATGTTTTGCAGTATAGGAGTAGGTTGGAAGAAAGTGAGAATCGGTCAGACCAAAACATGGCAGAAATCCATGAAGTCATTGACAAGTGGACTGAGTCATGCTGGTAGATGTAGGCTACCTGGTTGGTGTCCGCGAGACGAAAGTCACTGATGGTTAGAGACCTTCGAACGACATGGCTCAGAATTGTTTGGAATGGCGCAGATGCATCCACTGTTTGTGTTCTCTCTAATTCTAACCTTCTGAATTCCTCATAATCTCTATCTTTCTCGTTCTAAATTTATCTCACTGAACTATACTTCTTGAATCATATCTTCGCTCCCTAATCTTCTCCATTACTGCTAATAATTCTACTATCACTATCACTCATGGATTTGAATTGGCATTTGCGTCTCTGTGCTGATGTGGTATGGCAACTTGAACTGATGTACTTATGTACGAAGTTCTGCGTTGTATCCGTCTGTCTGTCTATCATATAACAGAACTAGATTAAATAAATAAATAAATTATTTATCAGTTATATAATGCGATCGAACAAACAGTGTTAAAGTTAATTATTTTAATTGTAAAATGCAGTGCAAATAATAGAAATAAAACAGACATATCTATGCCTTGGAATAATTATATACTATTAGAAAACACCTTGTAAAATAGTACATACTCAAACTATTCATTGAATTAACTTAGAGGCTAAAAAATGCATTAATAGCTGCTGCGCGTAGAGCTGATGCATGTTAACTCTCCTTAATTTCCAAGGACAAATCAATTGAACAGACAAAAGCATAATCTTACGTATTAGATTGCTTTTACTATTTTTTTTGTCTATTAAGTAACTATAACTTAATTGCAATACACTAATATTGTAATGTTCATTTATAGAAGGGAACAATTTTAACCTAGACAATTTGTTTTTTAATCTTACAGTAAACAGTAAGTTTAAATAAGAAACAGTAGAGAAAAGAAAAAGAGAGAATTATATTTTTAAACTGAAATAGAAATACTAAAAAGAAAAATCAAAGATTGTATTTCAAGCTTTATGCAAAATAAGAAGCTTGTTTTTGATCAACATGAATAAAGTTCATTTGATATTATAACGTCGAAATCTTAAACACTGAACTGCCCCTGTAGGTGTTGTTTACAATTCTACAAACAGTCATATATTAATTTGTAAACACTGACATTCTGGTAACAGAAAAAACAAGAAATTTCTTTTAAAAAAATAAGAATAATAATTGTTATTTATGAATGTTTACAACAGGGTGGCAGGTTTAAGGATAATTTTTTTCAATTACAAGTCTACATCAAAATTTAATTTTAGATATTATACTCATTAGAACTGGAGATCATTTGCGTTCGATGAACGCAATTTTCAATTGTATACTTCCTCTAACTCTTACAGTAATCAGGTAATAGGATAACACAATCATTCAGAAAAAACTTTAGTTTTCAGTCCTGTCCTACCCGAAAAAAACTAAACTTTATTGTATACTAAAATAGATTCGATTTCGTTTCTTTATTTCTTATTGATTATTTTCTAAGGTTTTAGTGAATATTATGATAATATGGATAGAGTACTAATTGGAAAATGTTCGATCATTTTCTATCGAATATTTAATTGATATACAATTATTGTGTGCGCTTATAATAATTACATAGAGTGTGTAATAACTTAGCTTAGCTCAACTATCCTATCAACTTCAATTCACATATAAACAATCTTCTTTTTCTTCCAAAATAATAGATTTGATTTGCCGATGTTTTAGCGGTTAACAAAATCGATTTCATTACATTTCACCCATGTAGAAAGAATTATTTAACTGACCAATTAAACAGAACTGATATTGTGTACTTTTTACTTTACTTACTTACGCCCGTTACCCCCATTAGGGCATCGGCCGCCGACCATTATTCTCCAACTTACTCTGTCCTGCGTGTCTCTTTCCAGTTCTGTCCAATTTTTTTTCATTCTTCTCATGTCTGTTTTCATTTCTCAAGTTAATATGTTCCTTGACCTTCCGCTTTTACTTTGACCTTGGGGGTTCCATGTGAGGACTTATCTCATAGCGCAGTTGGCTGCTTTCCTCAATGTGTGTCCTATCCACTTCCACCGCTTCTTCTTGATTTCCTCCTCCACTGGAATCTGGTTTGTTCTATCCCACACTAGGTTGTTGCTGATAGTGTCTGGCCAGCGAAGTATTTTGCATAGATAACTGTTAATGAATACTTGTATTTTCTGGATAATCGCTTTCGTGGTTCCGCAAGTTTCCGCTCCATACAGTAGAACTGTCTTGACATTTATATTGAAAACTCAGACTTTGTTGTTGGTTGGTAGTTCTCTTGAGTTCCAGATATTCTTCAAATGTAGAAATGCTTTCCTTGCTTTGCCGATCCATGCCTTCAAATCTGCACCAGAACCACCGTGCTTGTCCATGATGCTGTCCAGATATGTTAAGGTGTTAACGTCATCCAAGTCCTCTCTACCAAGAGTACAATGTACTGCACACAATTATTCACTTCATATTGCTTATTTATCCGATTTTCCTTGTTTTTTCTCATTAATTAGATGTGACTGTTCGACGTCATAATCATTCGGATATTATGACTGCATTAGGTGCTGCTATAACTGTAGCATTAGCACTTGATATAAATCCAGCTGGTTTATTAAAAATTCGAGAATATTCCACTCCTAATACATATAACTATCAATCAATATTTTATCCAAAAATTAATTCAAATGATCGAACTATAAAATTATACAGTTGGCATGAATCAGTAAAACGAAGTTTACATTGGATTACAAATGAATCAATCAATGATTCACAGAATACACTATTGAATTTAATGAATCTTATCCAAAATGAACAATGTCAAGATGAGAAGAAAATTAAAGTAAATACAATTTATATATATATATATATATATATATATATATATATTCTTTTTTGTTTTATTTCTAAATTTATCTCATTGAACTTATGCGCTTCTTGAATAATATCTTCGAATCCTAATCTTGTAAATACTTCTACTACCTCTACCACTATGGGATTTGAACTGACAGTTGTGTGTGTGTGTGTGCTTATGTGGTATGGCAACATGAACTTATGTACGTACATACGTACGTACGATGTTCTACATTGCAAATGACTGACTGACATTAATCGTATTGTTATTATTATTATTATTATTATTATTATTATTCTAAGCGTGAAAATCTCTAGTCTATAGTAATTATTTTTCAGTGTTGATATATAGGCGGAAAACGTAAATCATCTTACCTATTGTAAATAATTTCATCACACATTTACTGATAGTCACTACTTATAGATAGATGTATTAAAAGAAAATTATATTTTCATACTCTAAAATAACACAATAAACTGCTGTCATGATGTTACAATTTGAAAATGCGTTAATTATAGACTGAATCATGTTATATCCAAATACATTATTTGCTAGTAGCTACCAATATTTAGATAAGAGATCAAACAATAATGGTTGTTCCTTTCAAATAATTCTTCAGTGAATATCTACACTGATATGATATAAACAGGTATTACAATTTTTAGAAAAAACAGGTAAATCGATTGTTATGACTCGTCAATTGATATGCTTCAAACTATTACGAATTCACCTACACTAATCTCAGTGTACCAACCCCCCACACTAAAACGGTATCAAGAAGTCTTGATATGTGCTTGTAGAAAGTGTATTCTACAAGCACCCAGAAAATATGAGATTTTGTACAGAAGAAGAAGAAGAAGGAGGGAAGCATAAAGCATTTTACAGACATGGCATATTTATACAGTTAGGTCGACTGTGAGTATTAACCAATAAGAAAGAACATTTAAAAGTATGTAAACTTGATAGTTTTTTAGAACGGCCTTAAAATATTGACCAATAGAATTAGACTTTAGGATATTTAATGAATATCCTAACATCGATACATGAATAGATGATGATTAATCAGTTTGGTGGTAATACAGTAACCAGCTAGTTGATTGATAACACAACAATTTCAAAATTGAAAATCATATCTGACACTTCATAAACATTTAATTATCACAAGTTGATTTTATATTGAATTGTAAAACCAATTTATTTATCCCTAGCATTAAGTTTTCATGAAGAAATCACGAAATAAAAATGATTTTTTTTCCCCAGTGGAAATATATATTATGAATAGCTTATTTAAAAACACATTAACTGAAAGACCGCATACCTAGCTGAGATGATTATGAAATTAGAATAGAGATCAATAATAGAATGTAACTCATGTTACTAAATAGTGTTCAAGATTTTGTTTAGTGATTGGAGTCGATGATAACTATGAACACGTCTACATGCCGATTAAGTTCTTGTCTTAAGCGTTACCCTTTTGAGAATTAATAACAGGAAAGAAAAGATAGTCTAAATGATTAAGTATATTTGCTAACGATTTCGTGGTATCGAAAGAATAACGAAATTGAGCCAGAGAAAATGAGCGGAAGGTACAGAACAGCAAAAGCAAGATGATGACCACACAGAAGCAAAGTCGGTACTAAAGTACAAATAAACGAACTGTTCAGTAAAACGTCCACTTTTACGAATGGTTATAATAGTGAGTGTTTCTATTTAACCAATCATGCTCTTTTCGTAAAAGTGAAATCCTTACAAAAATACAACAGCAGTAGCAAGTTTTTGACACTATTTGTGACTATAAAGTTTAACTAATGATTAATAGAAAAGATTTGAAGTTCGAAATCAACATGTTGAGAAAGCAAGTGCGATTGTAATATTCTAAGGGCTAGAGAGCTTCCCATAAAGATATATCTAACCGTATAACATTTAAAAATCCAGTTTATGGTTGATTCAAGTACTTATTTCAGTAGTATCTTTTAGTGTAGAGCACCACACTTTATTATCCCATCACTAATGTGTAGAATTGTGATGTTGAATAACCTTTAAATCATTTAGGTAAATTTCTTATCATTATCAACTTTTAAAAATTCAATTACTTCTCCGTTTGTATGTGAACATATACAAATTAACCGGTAAATATTGCAGGATGTGATTTTGAAGCTTCCCTAAAGTCATTGGATCAGTCCTTACAGTACTGATAAGTTTAATTGTTCATTATTTCTACTTCATAATTATTTTGAACGTTTGTTACCAAAAAAATTAGATTGTTTAGCTCTGCATTGCCATGAAATATCGATTAAACACACTTTCCCGGATAATAGTAGAGAAGTTGATAAGCTTTCTGACGTTTACATCGATTTATCCAGGTGTTACGCCTGCACGTAAACACTTCAACTTGATATACTTGAACTATTACGAGTTTACCTTTGTCGGAATACGAGAGCGAGGATCGAGGATCCGGTGACACGACATACTACTCAAATCCAATTATCCCAGCTCCCCATAATAAGTAAAAATAAGAAGACTTGATATGAAGTAGAACATGTATTCTACAATCATCCAGAAAGTAGGAGATCCAAATCCAGAAGAGAATCAGGATCCCGGACTAGGGACCCGGGACCGAGCCCTGGTCCTGGTCCTGGTCGTGGTCATAATATGTTACATATAGTGCGTATTTATACATTTTGGTCGAATAGGAAACAGCATCGAACTCTGTGGCATTGACAGTTAAGATTACCAATAGGATGCAATATTTGAAATGACATTGACAGTCCGGATGACCAATCAGAGAAAACAGTGAAGTATTTGACTTTGACAGTCAAAACGACCATAATTTTGACCAATAGAAATCGACCAATCGGACTTGATCAGTAATTCTCTTAGGATATTGGATGAATATCCTAACACCAGGCTAATGATTATTTTCGTTCAATATGAGTACTTCAATTGGTAGAGAAATTTTATAGCTCAGATGAATGGATTGTGTTGGTGTTTTGTTCGCTGAGTTGACTGATTACTTCTTTACAACTTTGATAGAAATCACATTATCTCGCTTATAATAACAATACAATAAATGAAATAATTTGATTTTTGTAATCTATTGATTACATCATTAATGTGTGATTTCCTTCGTTTTTTTTAAAAATAAAATTTATTCATAATCCTATTGATTTATCGATTTATTTTTTTTATTATATTCATCAAAGAAAAAACAATATTCATTAGATTTTTTACAAAAAATATCATTTGGTCTAACAATTACTACTGGTCTACTTTTATTTGGATTGTTATATGTTCGACGAATGCAGTAATCTGCTTACATCCAGACTTACAAATATAAATATACATATATGATTTTAATTGAATTTTAAAACATGACAGCTTATTTCTAGTCATTTAATCATTGAATAAATTATACTTTCATAAATTTTATACTGATTTTGTATAGTTCATCACATAATTTAATTTAATTTAATTTTATGATATTCTCATTGGAATAATATATTTTTTTTCTTTTAAAAACTATTTATTTATATCATGAAGAAAGTTATTCATGTTCAGTTGTTCAGTTTGAGTAAACATTGAAATTGATATATTTGTAAGTCTACTGAAGCTGTTGTAAAATTAAAAAAAGAAGAGTATTAATTTTAGGAATAACAGTTCAGGAAGTTTAGATATGAGCCTTACCCAATTAATTTTCAAAAAGAAAGCAATTTATCTGGGTAAGTAACGGTTCTATTATTAATCATACATACAAACACAAATTATTACCTAGATAATATTACACGTTTACTCATTCCGTAATAACACAAAATGTTTCCGATTCTGGAAGGAGCTTCATATTTTGACCCGAATTGCACCCTTCCAGTCCAGTTAAACGTATCAGCCACCGGAGATTCAAAATTCCATATGGCTGTCGCCATAATTAATTATCAACTTAAACAATATAATGCAATTCGGAGAGAAACGTAGAAACTAAAAAAAGGGTACAAAAAATAGAAACTATAACAAAATACTTCAAGCCACTAATCTGCAAAACCATACTTTCTAAATTAAACGAGTGTTTATCAACATCACAGACAAGTTTAAACTTTTCACTGGTCATCTCTTAAGGCAATCGATATCCCACTAGTGTAGGGAGTGAGATGTGGCGGTTAATAAATCCCAAAAATAAGTTCGTTTGTATGTCTTCAACACTGATTTTTATCTCATTAGTTTTCCTAGGCACATCCTAGCTGACGACGCATGGTCAAGCTTCATCACCAACGACCAAAGGAATCGACATGGATCGCATTTCTGTCAACAAGGAGCCATTTATCATAGCACGCTTCTCCATATACCAACAATTTCACAATTATATCGTCGTCCCTAAATGCCGGCCTTAATGACTTCGCAGTGCGTGAATATAAATGTGTTACGGACAACAACGATATAAAACCTTGAGTTTTAGTGACATTTTATTATATTCTGAGTCTAAACTGCCTGTTTTAAATATCTTTGCCATATTTTCCCATGGCTGTAAACTTTTATTTCGATTTGTCTAATAACTTATATTCCACCATGGTCACTAAGACCACAAGTAAGTCAGCCGGTTGCCATTTTGCCGTCACTTCAGGTATTCAGTGAGACAAATGCAAAGGGTGAGGATAAGGTAAAACTACATAAGAACACTGATCAATCGCCATTGTACTCTGACCTTTCAGCAGGCATACTAGACTTGTTTCATGAACTTGGATATTACCTTCCATTACCCTGTATCTTGCTTTTAGATATAAATTTCAACCAGAGTAAATTGAATGACCCAACACCATCCGCTGCTTCAGGAAATTCATCCGAACCGGGTACTTGTCGCAAACCATCATTAGAAAGTGTGACTGATCGTGAACACCTAGCGAGCCTACAAAAGAATGCACTTCATAGCAATTCGCTAGCCACAATGATGTAGATCTCGATTATTTATCCAAAGATATGTTAATTTCCTCACCGAGTATACTCAAAATGTTCACCCAATAACCACTTGCAACAAGTCTATACCTAACCCAATCGATTCTAACGGTTTCGAAATAAACTCCAATACTTTCACCAATGAGCAGTCAGGTGACCTTGGCGACTGAAAAATCTTCCAGTTTCTAATTTAGCACTTCAACTGGATTACATTCTTTACTGGTTATGAACTCTTTGAAACACTATATATATTTAATGTCACCATTAAATATATTATAAACTAATATCCCCTCGAGAACAGATTTTGGAACAATAACTCATTATACAAACAGAAAACTCAGGGCAAAGTTACTTAAATAAAAATGGACAGATCTCGGCATCCTTTAATACTTGACGGTGTGAAATATCAACATGGAATGCATAAACAATTAGTGTGACGCTGCTCATCGACAATGCATTTGAATTACGAAATCTTTCATATCTGTTTGAAAAAAAAAACATAAAAAGTAACGCAGGATACAATACTAGTTAAATGCTGTGTGGAGGAGAGTCATAATATGACCAATTCGTTAATAATTATTGATATTCTTCTCTAATTACAGTGTTTCTTGAGGTATGCCAGTTTACAGACATTATCTGTGAACCTATAAATCCATGGTTCTCCACCAGTCAGAATACATCTCGTACCTTAGATATTATTCTTAACGGGATCAGTAAGAATAATCTCTAAGATATTGTCTTTGATCTTAGCAATATTAACGATGCCATTAAAACCCCCTTTATTTATCCTTCACACTACTTCTAAATTAGAACCACGACATTTCTCACCAACAGATACAGAATTACTAGAATTAACTCAGAAAAACCTACACCCCGACCTGTAACCAGTATTGTTGTGATGAACAGTGTCTTGTGTTCACTGCTTTTCATAATCTGCACCCACAATATATGTAGTTGCTTCAACGCAGATAAAATCTAACTATCCGCAGACTACTTAAAAGTCATTTATCAAACTAATATTTGTGGCGTATTAAGTCTAACGCAAAAAACTCAGTATGAACGCACTAATGCAGATACATGGTGTAAGCATTAGAATTCAGTGCCGAGAAATGTGGTTTGCTGTGTATTGAAGACACGTCAGCCACAGCAAGAACGAATTACCAAAACTTGTATCTGCAAATGACATTTAAATACATTACTTGCATAGGCTAAACTCTTATTAACCTATTTCCACCAAAGTATCTCAAGCGAGAAAGTTACTAGGTTTCATTTTTTGTAACGATTTTCATAATGAGTCTAGAACTGTTCGTCATAAGGTATGTCTAACGAATATAGTACGCGATGAAAACGGTTTGTTCTAATCTTCTAACATTTGCCAGTCTGATATATTGAGAGTAGGACGAATACTCAGATATAACACTCGCAATATAATTAGAACCAACTCACTGCTTGACCATCCAATCGGATCCCACACCTTTGGACTTAATCCAGTCTGTAAAGGAAAGTTCGATCTGCTTCCATTCATATGCTCACATACTCTTCCCGTAATGTAGTCTTTATCCCAGGCCCGCGTATATACAACCTTCGTGCTAAAGTATCTACTGTCAAACTTGAGAAGCATAAAACAAAAACTCAGTAAGAAACGTCTTCCTAATTAAATATGCACTCATATGGGATAGTCCTCCCTAAAAAAACCCATAGCAGACGGACCATATGCATTTTTTGGGCTTATTTAAAATCCTTCGTTTGCTCTTGTTCATCAGCATACACGAAATCATTTACACCTCTTTCATATATCATTGTCTGTCTACACATATAAAGCACATCGAATTCTGAGCTGCGTTTCCCTTTTTCATCCTCTCTGAAGTTGTATTGAATTCTTCAAGTTGGCTACATTTTGCTTTTCCATTTTCATTTGAAATAGACGGATGATTCACTGGGTTGGTCGATGTTGCTCGAATTTAACCAGCTGATGAAACATACTGCGATACCTCCCGAAGTCCTCATTCGTACCTCACTACTTTCTGCTTATCTTCCGGTGGTCATGTAACATTTCAGACTGAGAAAACACCACCCGGTTCGGTGGTGTTTGTTGTCTCCTAATTGCCCATCATCAGTTCGCTGACCTCACATGCACTCTACTGATTTACCAACAATTCCATTTCACTATCCATTGCTAAGATATTTGTACGCGTCCCCACCTATTTGAACGGCCAATCTTCTGCCTTTAGTGATTTTGAACACCCCCTTTTTTACCAAAGCAATTACAGTACTGCATTACTGCATAACCCATAGTTCATAAGCTGTAACGGCCTGAAAAACTTGCAAAATGGAACTTGCAAAAATAGTGTTTCTCAACAGGGTGTGAAATAGAGACCCTCCAGCAGGACAAAAATATTCTCTTACAGTCACTTTAAATAAGCCTAACTACGCAAAAGAATGGAGGGAGCAGTTACTGGCCAGCAAGCACTGGTGGTTAAGGGCGCTGACTTCAATCCATTCATGCTTGTGTAATAAAACATATTGTTTGCTACGAGCTCTTTTTGATTGGTAATGCGACTAACCAGTTATCGTGAGGTTGACCTCTTATGTTTGTTAGACCCTTGGACTAATGTTTCCAATTTTACGTTGGGATCACTATTCTGACAGGATAACCTACAATATGTTTAGTGAGCCAGAAACGGTATGACTTGAAAGTTGGCAGTAAATGAATAAGGATGACGGACAATAAGCAATTTAGTTACCAATGTTTTTCAGAAACTTGGCTTTTTTGCTGTTCTTTCGATGTTAATGAGCAGACTCTCATCCAATCAAACAACAGTGGGGAGACGAAGGAGAACGTCGGAGTGGTAGAGGCAAAGTGTCAATTTTTACACCTGACGTAAGATATTCAGGCGAAAAATGTGTTTATTTTCCAAGCCCATAGACGATTTGGGAAAATTCGTAAACAGATTTGCGTAAAGTACAGAGATTATAGTAACGGACGTAGTTTGTTCGGCTTTTTTCGAAATGCTTCTGGTGTAGTAGCCCGCCATCATCTTTTCTAGAAGCTTATGCCATGCATTTAAGTTTTTGAAAGCTGCTATTCCTAATGTATTTGTTAAGCCTTATCTTTTAGTAGAACAATTCCTTTGAGAGAAATCAAAAAGCTAGGAGATGAAGGGAAAAATCTAACTTATTGGACATCGAATGTTGTCATAGAACGAAATATTGCAAGAGGTAGAGCAGATTGAAAATGGATTTATTGGTAAAACATAGTTTGCCTTCGGATTACTCCACGAGTTTAAGATACATCTAAGAAATATGTTGGAGGCCTTTCACGATCAACTCAATAGAGAGGAAACTACCATGCATAACAACTGGAAAG